TCTTTTGAGCTACTGATTTTTCCATTTGTCCCATGACTTTTATTATCTGTTCATGGGTTCTTTCTGGCCTTTCACAGTTTAGGGGGTCAACTACTGTTCCTCAGACCATATGTGATGAATAGGTATTCAAGCTTTGTATCTTGGCCAGTAGTAGATACTATTTCAAAATAGGTTTGTAGAGATCCTCTGGAAGTTATACATCTACATGTGTAACTGGGATATCACTGAGTCCAGAGTGTCACATACTAATGTGTCCAGTGTGCAAGATATTGGTGCTGCTGTGGGTAGCTTGTGGTGGGCAGAGTATCACGCTCAATGTCTCTTTTCTGCATTCTGCACAGCTCTTCACACTGTTTTATGTTTATTCCCTCCCTTCCCCCACTACACAGCATCATCTCCAGAGAGATGGCTCACAAGTGGTGTATCACTTGCCTCCTTTAATCCCCTAATCACCATTTAGCTACTCCCCCTTGACCCTTTGGACACAAGGACCAATTGTGTAATTACTATTCTGTAGAAAAATTACCTCCTTTTGTCATGTTTCTCAAATGTTACTGCAAAATATGCCATAAATGCCAGAGTATATCCAATAAGTGCACATCATTTAAAGATGAATAATAAAATTAATGACCATGTACCTGCCACCTAATTTAAAACATAACTTCTCTTCCTTTACATAAGCTATACTTTGATTTTTCTTTTTATTACAGCTTTTAATAGCATCAATTAGCCATACAAGGGGATTACATTTTGACATGTCCATATATGCATGCAATACACTTGATTAGTTTCTTGCTCTCTATTATGCTCCCTCCTCCCTCTCTCATCTCCCTCAGATTAATCTCAGTAAACTTTCTTGTTCTATTTTCACATTTTTACACACAGTCTTTTGGTCATATTTACTCTCATTCACCCTCTCTGTTCACCTTCCTCCCTCCTACTAGTACCCCAAACCCAGACAGGACTAATTTACATTCCTTTCATATTGGTATTTCACACATGCATATACAGTTCTTTAATCAGATTGTTCCTTTCATTTCCATATTTTAATTTCCAATTACATTTCTTTTTGCCAGTCCTGGGACTTGAACTCAGGGCCTGGGTGCTGTCCCTGAGCCTCTCTGTGCTCAGGGCTAGCACTCTACCACTTGAGCCATAGCACCACTTCCAGCTTTTTCTGTTTATGTGGCACTGAAGAATTGAACCTAGGGCGTCATGCATGCAAGGCAAGCACTCTACCATTAAGCCACATTCCCAGCCCCTCTAATTATACTTTTAGCACACCTTCATTTTGTCTTCCAGACACTAACTGTAGCTTGTAGCAATATATCTAATGCAGGTCATTTCAGCTGACTCTTTCTCTGCTTTTGCTGAGATCATGTGTCTGAGAACAGGAGTATGACCATAATGACTTCTACCTCTTAATGACCAAATGAGAAAAAAAAGGAAAATGTATCTAGGGTATACATTGGGCTATTTATAACAGAAATCCAAATGGTTACACTTAGTGATTGGTGAGGCAGATAGGCCATCATTGCTTTCTCCTGGCAGACTTTTCCCTGGTGCACTGCTAATTCACAAGGTTTCTTCATGGGAAGAAGAAAAAAAATCTACTCTTGACATTTGCTATACTTATTTGTAATGTCTACATACACAGAAATCTATAAAACTATGCTTGTGATTAGCAGTTGCCTTCTCTGAGTTTACAGGCTACAACCTTCCCAGCTATAATTCATAGTTGTCATACCAAGTAGCTACAAGGCTTCTCGTCATCATTTGCTGAATGCCTACTATGTGCTAGGTATACTTTGAGATGCTTGGCCTTCAGTATGGAGATAGGCAAGACCCCTTTTCTTACAGATCCTCCTGACTAGACAGGTGAGCACACTGTACTCTGAATATCTGAGTTAGAGGTCACTTAATAAGCTGGAGTGGTGCTTGAACTGGATTAGGGGTCCTATGGCCAGTATCAAAAATCAACCAAGGCTTCAAGGTACTTATCATGGTTTTATATGACAAGCTCACTCCTCAAAAGGTCATCTTGTAGTGAGTTGATGAGTTCAGAGCTCATATTGGGGGATTCTTATGTCCAGGCTGATCCTCTGTCCTAGTTTACTATGGACATCTGGGTTAATTCTCTTATCTCCTTGTAGTTATTAATATAACCCCTATTCTCTCTGAAAAGCATTCCAGCCTTGACAGTAGTTTATATAATTGTATAGATTAATCATGTTGTTGTTGTTGTTTTTGCTGCAATGACTCAGTGACACCAAATATTTAGGTTTGGTTCATGGATTTGTGCATCACTTGCAGTGTTGCTCTAGGTTATGGGTCAGGTTTGTTTATTACTCATTCTAGACTTTGGGAATGTGTGTGTCTTTTTATGGTCACTCTCTAGAAGTTTAGTTTAGTTCAAGATGAGAGAGCCCTTGTTCTCATGAACAATCTTAGGGTTCAAAAATTCTCTAATCCTGAGGGAGAAAGGCTGTATCAGCTTATCTTCCATTGGCTGGAAAAAGCCATCCATCCCGGACCAGCATCAGGGGACTGGGATTTTATGCAGGTCCCTTGGAGGGGAATGCTGTGGCAGGGGAGAACAAAAAGTTAATGAATGATGATAGAGTTATCATCTCACATTTCTAAACCCACTGCTACCTGGCACACCCCTCCCTCAATCTTTACATGCTTTTTATGTGTGTGTGCATGCCAGCTTTGGGGCTTGAATTCAGGGCCTAAGCACTGTCCCTTAGTTTTTCACTCAAGGCTGGTGCTCTACCACTTGAGTCACAGCTTCACTTCTGTTTTTTAGTGGTTGATTATAGATAAGAGGCTCAAAATTGTCTTCCTGGGCTGGCTACCAACCATGATCCTCAGATCTCAGCTTCCTAGTAGCTAAGAGTACAAGCATTACCAGCTGCATGTAGTTCTTAAGCAATATATGTGTCAGAAAAAAATCCTGTAATAATGAACAGATTGAAAGGAAGGAGTTAGCCTCCATTTGGATTACATAAAGCATTATGAGATTTTACTGTGGTGTGGAGCCTGATTTGTGTTTAGAGTCTATTTTAGGTGGGGAGACTGATGTTTGTTATGGCAGCTAGACTCACTGGGGCAGGGATTCCTGTGCCCCCAGCCCTACCAACTGTCCTAGAAGTCTGAACCAATAAGTTTCCACTTCACCATGATAACCAAATGGAGCCAAATGGAGCCTGAGATAATACCATATTCTCCCTACCCATGTTGGGACCCCAGGCAGTGTGGATTCTAGGAACTTTTGTTTTATTTATACCTACTCTATATTCTGTCCCCTGTCCCCACACCTGGGAATTTTAATGTTTGCTCAATGTCTTTTTCTTTTCTTTTTTTTTTGGGGGGGGGTGTCCAGTCGTGGGGCCTGAATTCTGGGCCTGGGCGCTGTCCCTCAGCTCTTCAGCTCAAGGCTAGTGCTCTACCACTTGAGCCACAGCGCCACTTCCGGCTTTTTTCTTTTTGTTTATGTGGTGCTGAGGAATCAAACCCAGGGCCTCAGGCATGCAAGGAAAGCGCTCGACCACTGAGCCACCTTCCCAACCCTCAATGTCTTTGTCTTAGTTCATCATTGATGGGCTTTTCCTAAAGCCATTCCAGAAATTCCTTCAAGTGACTGATTTAGAGATAGATTGGCAATACCCTGTCTATTTTCCATTTCTTAATCATTTCTGTGGGATTTACAAAAGCAAAAGGCACAGAGATTCAAGCTCAGTCACCTACACTGAAACTGAAACCCCATTGTTTTCCAAATGAGATGTAATTTTGTTTCACCACAATGGCAAAGATTAATTAGGAAGGGTAAGACACATCTAGTAGATCCATTACCAATCTGACAGTTGGCTTTCTTTCAGGAACAATTTTTAGTGGATTTTTTTTGTACTGGGGATTAAGCTAAAGGCCTTGTATGTATTAGACAAATGCTTTGCCATTCAAATGACAACTCCAGCTTATGTTTTGTTTTTGAAATAGGGTCTTGCTATCTTTGCCTCAAAGTCATCATGATCTGCCTCCTAAGTAGCTGGGAGTCAGGCATACACCACCATTCTTGGTTCACGAGAATTTCTTCATGAACAGCATTATTTTTCATAACAATGATCAAAGGATTTTCAGTTACATTGGAAAGCATATGGATGGTAGTTGGTCAGCTTGATTCAGTAGGTGAGTAACTTACAGGAGTGGCCTATATGCTCCAACAGAAATGCACCTTGCCACAGATCCTAGAATGTTAGCATTCCTGTGGATAGTTCAAATGGTGAGGATTAAAGAACTAGTTTTGCATGATCTAGAGTAACTCTGAATTCTATCTTGCTTGTCAACATGTCTCCAAAGTCTCATACACTATCTGACACATAGTAGACAGTCACAAAGCTTTGGTGTGAACAATGAAAATACTAATGGTGGAACATAGAGGCAAAACCTGGGGAATGTGCCTGAGGATCCTGGGTGCAGGAAGGCCCAGTAAGCAGAGGTATGGGTGTACGTTAGTAGCAGCAGGACTGAGTTCAGATTGATGCCTTGGCCTCTCTAGCTTTATTCTCGAGCAGAGTAAAGGCTCTTTAAGAGACCAGGTTTAAAGTTATGTATAGCATAACTTTATCTGTAATTTTTCAGTACTTGAAACATCTCTGCTCAGAAAATACTAATGATTTGTGTTATCTGTGTGATTAGACTTGCAAAGATTCCTAGTTTACCAAAACCATACCCATTTGTTTTGCTGTTCATCATAGGCTACCTGTAGGTGGTATTATGTCCTCTGTACTTTTGTTCATCAATTCTCTGGTTTCTGCCTTAATCTTCATTGTCACTGCTATAGAATCAGGTGATCTGGCAACATTCCTAACCCGGCCTTCCAGTCAGCTCCTTGGGGCTGACTGGATGAGATGGTGATTCTCCCCACACTGTGCAATGGGCAGGTGTGGGCAGGTGGGACGGGCCCCACCACACTGACCTTTATCTTTGCTTCTTTGCAGATATCTCAGTGAGCCTGCTAACCCTCATAGTCACTGCCTGTGGTCTCGCCCTCTTTGGCGTATCTCTCTTCGTGTCTTGGAAACTCTGCTGGGTTCCATGGCGAGAACGAGGCTTGTTCTCTGGTAGCAAAGACAACCAGGAGCCTCTAAACTGCACAGACACAGAGACCAATGAACAGGAGAACAGTGAGGACTTCCTAGACCCACCCACGCCCTGCCCTGACTCCTCCATGAAGATCAGCCACACCTCCCCTGACATTCCCCTCTCCACTCAGCCGGGAGTCCAGGAGAATTGTGCCCATGGCGTCCGGGTGCAGCGCCAAGTCACAGAGCCAACATCGTCGGCTCGGTCAGTAATATCTCTTTACTTTCTGAATGTAAGACAAGGCCCACCCATCCCTGTTTCTTGGCAGTGGTGGTATTGATTATCCAAGGAACCTACACCCTTTATGTGTCCATTCAGAAACCTTTGCTTCCTGTGATGAAATGAGTTCCTGAGCTCTGCTTAGACTCCACAGAGTCCATAAAAGTATTATCTAACATTGAGAAGACTGACCATGTGTCAAGTATGATATACATAACTTTATATTTATTATTTGATTAGAGCGTCCAACTTTGAGGTGGATATTATTATTTTCCTTTTATAACAGAAGAAACAGGTAGATTAAGAAACAAAGACACATATTAATCACTCAGGTCAGAGTATGAACCCAAGATCTGAGGTCTCATTCACTATTCCTTGATGTCCTCCTAATGCTGTATAATTTACTTACTATGTCTCTGACCTAGCTTAACAGTCCCTAATAGGCTCTCTTCTGACTCCATGATATAACTGGAGATCTTTGTCCATCATGAGCCTTTATAAGATCTACAGAGTACATCGCCTAAGGTCACTCTTTTTCTATCATTTATTATTAAGTAAGATAGAAGTAACAGTTTAGCAATTTAAACCATGGACCTTGGGGGTTAATAATCAGGCTTTACATATGTGTATGACATAGAACAAATTACAAACCCTCTGTATGTATCCATTTCTCCTTTAGTCAAATAGGAATAGTAAATATACCAACTTTTAGGTGGCTTTGTGAAGGAAGTAATGACACTTACAAAGGTCTGCACCTATTAAGTGCTGCCATTTTGCTTTCCATGTTAATGTTTTCATTACAATTGTTATTGAGGACAAGCCTGTCCCAAGACTCAGACATTATAAAATGATGAATTGGAAGCTAAACATCAAGATCAAAATCACTGGATATTAAAAGAGGCTTTTAATAAGAGATTTTTTTGAAAAGTAACACAGGAAGCAACTTTTGTTAAAATGAAGATATTTGCTTGACTGATAGCCAGAGGAATAGCAGTGTACTGTTTTCTTTTAAGAAAATATGAACATGGTTTGGAGGAGGGCATTTTTTTTCAAAATCTTTTATTCTCTAGAAACAGAAATAAGATTTTTACCCTTTTTTATGATAATCAGGTTTATCCTAGCGGCCCTACTCATTCACATTAAGTGGGATGAAATATGACAGTTGATAGTTTAATTTTTTCAGAAACCTATTTTAGCATCATTTCCAATTCTGAATCAAAGAGCTAAACCTAAAATATTCCTCTGTCAGGAAATGGTTGTTTGCCATTTGATTTAGAAGAAATTCTCAGATTTTTATCACTAGGATTTCAGATTTAAGACATAAATAGCTAGAGTTCTGTTCAGCACTGTTATGGAGTTCATGCATGGTGTAGACTCATAATAACAAAGCCCTTTTGTTAAAAGACCTGAAGATGGGGTCCCCATTGAAATTGTGTTCCAGTTCTGCTCTGCATATGGTTTTACTTGTCTGAATTCCTCTAATACAGTGTAATAAAACTGCTTTTATTAGATTTGATCTGAGCATTCTGTCATATAATTCTAATGAACTGATACCTGTAATATCACTGTAATTACCACACTATTCTAGAAAAGTATATAAATAATTTGTATATCAAGAAATATAAACTGCTTAGAAGAGAAAAATCACTGTTACCTTTACCACTGATCTATGGAACTTGTGTAGAAAGGGGGGAAAAAGAGAGCAAAGGAATTATCCCGGTAAAAATGCATTTTACATTCAGATTATTTTAGTTTTGAAGATATGCAATTAAGATATTTTTTTCTGATGGTGAAAATTAGACTTCGTAAAACTGCCATGAGAAAACTAAAGTCTTTGCAGCTACATTTGACCTAGTATTAACAATTCGCATCATTACACATTTAAAACATTCATACCCAAATTACCACTGACCTAGTTTTATGTGTTCTGACTGTAAGTATATATCCCTGTCTAGTAATGCATGGTCCTCTAATTCTTTAGCAATATTGTTGTGCCATAAGCATATACATTCACTCAAACACAAACATTCTTTTTTAAAAATTACCTTTAAGGAGTTGTACAAAGGAGTTTCCATTTAACAAAGCAGTTTATGCGTACAGTGTCTTGATCAATGTCACCCCTTTCGACATTCTATCCCATCCCTTCCCACCCACCCGGTCCATATATATAATATATATGTATATTCTCCATATATATATATATATATATATATATATATTCTTACTGACAAAATGGAAAACTGAAAGATATTTCCTTCAAACTCTGAAACATTTTTAACACTCTATTTTTAAGTAACATACTTAGGAAGGGAGAAGTTACACTTTGCTGAGATGGTCCCAGAAGTTTGCTCTTCTAGAGCTACTGTATCTCCTGCTTTCTTCATTGTGTCCTTCGCTTTGTTACTATTGCCATTTTCTTTCTTTCCAAAAGAAAGCTAGAATATTCTGTATTCCACCATCCTCCCTCCTGGTTCTGTCAGTACCTTTTCCTACCTAGAGACCTCCATGTGCATCATTCTCTCAGCCCAGGATTTTTGTATCTATCCTGAAGTAGTGCTCACATGTCACAGCATTCCCGTAACATCTCCTTGGCTGAGTTCATTTAAAACTTAGTCTTCCATTTCAGGGCACCTGATATCTCACCTTGGTTGTTATAGCTTCTGTCATAGCTCTCCATCAGAAATCTCTAACCCACCTGGCTCTTCAGATTGGAAACAATCAGCTCATACCAGTGCTATATGAAGATCCTGAAGATGAGTTTTGTTTTATCTTCTAAGAATATTTCTGGTCAGAATGACTTTGTTTTCTTTCCCCCCCAAGATCAAATACATTAAGACTTTGTGTTTAGTTAGCTCAATTGCTATTAAAACCATCCAAATTTCCTGTTAATTCTTTTCAGCTTAGATGAAATCCCTCCTGTATTAATGACCTTATATGTTGGGATTGCGAATGTCTTCATTTTCTCAGAATTTTCAATACTAGAATTTTCTAATAAAAGTTTCAACTGCAAATATACAAAAATCCCTAGATCCCTAAAGTAGAAGAAACCTTGAAGGCCATCTCCTTCATTTCCTGATGCTTGTCCCATGATGACTATTTTAAATACTTTCAAATTTCCTTTGTAACACTTTGATGCTATGAAATTCTGACTGGCTACCCTACAAACTGCCTCATACTGGCATAGCCTCAACTCCTGCCAGGGCCATTATGTCATAGAACCCAAGTCATATAACCCAGAGTCCATGTTCACATAGACTCAGTAGGAGGCTTTACCTGAAGAAAGGCTGTGTATTCCAGCTGTGTACTTCCTTCTCTCTTGGTTCCTGTAGTCTCCAAGTGTTCTGCCTAGAGACCTATACACACATTGTTTCCTGAGCCAGGAATATATTTCCTTTATCCTTGCTTTACTGGCTGCATTATAACTCTAATGTCCTAGCTTAAATGACTCTGCTCCTGAATGTCTTTCTTACGCCCCCCCCCACCTGAAGGATATGTTCTGTCCTCTACTCACAATTCTCAGGTTGCTTTGCCTTCCCCCTTTGCTGCCTGGACTTCTGTTTATAAGTGATTACTTGTTTATTGTCTGGGACTTCCCTTTGGATGTTGAGTTCCATGAGCTCAGAGACCAGGTGTGATTTGTTTCCTTCCCTGTGTCTAGCCCCTAGGACAGCCCCAGGCACATAGTAGACTTTTTTCCCTCCACAAATAAATGACAGAATGTATCCATCACTAGAGGCCACCTTTCTCAGGTTCTGCTGACATAAATGGCAGAAGGCCAAAAGTACAAACTAAATAAGGCCCACAACGGTGTGAGGCTAGTAGAAAGCCATTTATCTCTGGCTTGACATTAGTCAAGAGGCTCTTTCTGATTCAGACTTTTGACCTTATCTTTGAGTAGAGCAACCAATAGAGTCACAACAATACGCTGATAGGATTCAAGGAATCAGATAATCCTTACACTGGATCCCTTTATTAGCTACAAATCCAATAAGCAATACATATTCAATGTTTGAATTACTGTGACCAATACATTTCTATTAAGCTCTGTTTTTGTGTTGGGAACAAAGTAAAATTTGAATCACTCTTATTGTTATTTATCTCTTCAGATTTTAAAAAACTATTTCAAAATGGAGGCTACCTAGACCTATCTTAACTCTCACAAGGCCCTGAAATTATAGGTAACTGAATATTTTCTCTACTGGGATTTAATGATCAGAAAATGTATCCACAGTGCTTTTCTAGCAGTGAGAGTCCCGGAAGACTAGGGTGGAAGAAAGGAAGGAAGAAAATATATCTCTCCTTTTTCTTTCAATTTTAATTTTGTTGTCAAGGTGATAGACCTAAAGGGTATGGTTACATAAGTAAGGCAGTGAGTACATTTCTTGTTGAACCTGTTACCCCCTCCCTCATTTTTCTCCCACTTTGCCTATTTCTCCATCCCCCCCAAATTGTACAGATAATTTTCAACATAATCTCTCCCATTTAAGTCCCAAAAGAAGAGTACCAATCACACATTTTGAAGTACTGAAATCATTCCTTAAAATATTAATCTAGAAAGAATGCACCAATGTAAAAGCCCCCTTGCCTTTGGGCTTCTGCTCCTTCCTGAGCTATGGCTGCAGCTTAGCATAAGATTCAGATTCATTCAGGTGTATTTGAGTTTACTGTAGGAAATTTACAAAAGTTTTAATTATCTTTGAACTCAGTGCTTTCTGGAGTAGCCTAATTGCTACTACCATTCGAGCTCAGGTCTAGAAGACCTAATTCATCTTGAAGATCTTTTTCTTGTCTTTCCAATGCCATCTGATGGCCCTGAGAGAAAAACAGGAGGTAGAAGAAATAGAGAGTCCCAACCTCAGAGCCAGCTTCTCTGAGTCTGTGTTTGGGTGTGGCTTATTTTCAAGGAAGACAACCTCTTGACTTTTCTCCCCACTTTGTAACCATTTTTGGTGGTGTGTTTTTCTCTTGTTGTTCATCATATACATTAAGAACAGAGGATTCCACAGTGCTTCACAAAATGATTCCTCTTTACCACACTCACTCAATGTCATAAGTGATGTTACTCAGTGATATTCCGGAGAACCTAATACATACTACAAGAGCCACCTCACCTGCAGTGGGGCGGGGGAGATCCAGTCCAATCTCTGTTTTATGGTTTTTCTTATTCTTACTTTGGACTTGCTTTTATCATCCTACCTCCGTTTCAGTAGCCTATGAAAGCTATGGAATATTGATTTTCCATTTCTGCCATCTCATCTTCCCCTTCATGTCCCTAGGGCAACCTTCCTGCTCTGTGCTTTCATTTCTCAACCCCTAGAGTGCTAGCAATTATGCAGGGAAGGTATGAGTTACTTTGGTTCTCTGGCCACTCTGAACTCTTCTAGTCTATGCCCCTCAACTTTACTATAAACTTACTGGCTCCTAAAAGGAGCCCCAGGCCACAAGAACCTGTCATGCCTGGTTATAATCTGTTTTAAGGAACTACATCACAATGAGTGTCAACTGTTTTCCACTCTGAATGGGGAGAAAAGGCCTGGGAATGGAACACACATGTAAAAAAAAAAAACACTTGATAGATAATAGTGTTCCTGTTTGTGATTGATTTTTGAGAAGAATCTTTGACTATATTGGACATTGCAGTGGGGGTTCTATATAGTTGAGTTCTCAGGGAATGAGATTTTGTTTTTACCTTTAAAGCATAATGGCCCTGTTCAACTCACCCACTGTACCCCACCGACAGTCATGTTAGGAAGAACTGAACATGGAGTACCAATTTCTCTGAATTTTGCATCTAAGTAAATACATACAGTACAACAGAATATGTTCTATTGCTAAGTAGCCAAATCTATATATTATAAATTTAAATTAAAATTTACTTGGTAGGCTTAGTTGCACATAGAAGGGTGAAGGCAGAATGTTGCTGTGATATAGTGAATCCAAAGCCATAGTAAGACACATTGTTATCTGTTATACACAGAGTCTGCTCAGCAGCCTCCTCAGAGCAAAATGACCATGGAGACTCCCTCCCCAAGAAGGAGCCTCATAGCCTGTGGTGTCCCCATGGAAAGCGAGTGTGGTCACTCAGCAGCATCTTCTGTCTCCTTGCCCCCTAAAATAATCAGAAACCTCAAGATATGATTTTTTTTCTGGGAGAAATAATCATTTTATAGCAGCAAGTGTTAGACCATACAGAATATTTATGCCTTGCATATGTCTGTGTGCTATGGTCTGTGTTGGGTGTGACAAGAACAAATGACAGCTCTGACAGTGTTCTGTTATACTGTGTGAGTGACTACTGATTAGGAGGGTATTTTAGGACTGAGAGGAATGTGCAGTGTGCTGACATCTGTGATGACAAAGGAAAGGGATTTCCAACATGTCTTAAGGTTTGTTAATCCACTTTTACATCTTTTATTTCATAAGGTACTCTCAAGAAAGGAAAGGAAGACAAATGCAAATGTTGACTCTCCCTCTCCAACTATTTGCCCGTCCCTCAGTGACAGCCCAGATGCTTTTAGCCTTCCATGAGAGACGCTATTTTAATTAGTTACTGAGGGATCGCATATAGCACAATGTAAGAAAAATGAAGAAAAGCAGAAATAACCTTAAAAGTAACCTTGACTATGATTACTTCTTTCTCCTTGTAAGGACACACACAGATAAGACAGATTTCAAAGACATTTATAGAGAAACATCTAACCCAGGCCAGTAAGCTTATAAAGAGTAGACTCTCGGAGCAAATATTTAATTTGCAAATATTAATATCCAGCCTTCTCTAACTGAATCGACTGTCATTGCCTTTAAGTAGCTCTTCTTTAGTTCTTATGTCATCGATGTTTATTCCAGAAATGAAAGCCCCTGATTGTCAATCATTCACATGATACAACTGCAGCATAATCTCAGCGCTGTCACTCACACCTGTCACAGCTACCATCCTCTGCAACCCCACCCCAGTCACATCCCTCTACCCATGAGCAAAACCTGTGTTCTTGTCATGAAATGATTTGATCTGAACTGTATAAAAAATGCACATCCTTATAAAGCTGTAAGCCAATGACAGGAAATGTAATTTGGAGAGAGATGCACTCTTCTTTAAAAAAAAAACAAAACAAAACAACCCTTACTTAACTATTTCAATTTCAGGATATTATCTACAAAAGTGAAAAAATTTTATTTTTAAAGCAGCTTGTATGAATCTTTACATTCCACCAACCAGATAAGCTTCTTTAATGGCACATTAGGCAGTTTGGAAAATGCATTAAACCTTTCAAGCTCCAAGGTCACATGTTAGTCAGTTCATTTCCTGATACCAAGCCTCAATTTTGAGCTTCAAGCCTTAGGGAGCAGCTTACTCACACTGATGAGCATTTTGAATTTAGGCCAAAAAGGAAAAAAAAAAGTCCATAGATCTAAGCTCTTAACAGGACACAACAGTCTACCTACATTCCAGGCACACGTTTCTGAAAGACCCGTAGCTAATGAGGTTATAACTTTGCTCTGTCTTGCTCTTCATTCAAGGCATAATTCAATCCGAAGACAACTCAACCTGTCAAACCCGGACTTCAATATCCAGCAACTTCAAAAACAGGAGCAGTTGACTGGAATTGGTAGAATTAAACCAGAGTTATATAAGCAGAGGTCCTTGGATAATGATGACGGGAGAAGGAATAACAGCAAAGCTTGTGGGAAACTGAACTTCATTTTAAAATATGACTGCGACTTAGAACAGCTCATAGTAAAGATTCACAAAGCTGTCAATTTGCCCGCCAAGGATTTTTCTGGAACTTCAGATCCTTACGTCAAGATCTACTTACTTCCTGATCGGAAAACAAAACACCAGACTAAAGTTCACAGAAAGACCCTGAACCCGGTGTTTGATGAAGTATTTTTATTTCCAGTTCCCTACAATGACCTTGAAGCTCGGAAGCTTCACTTTTCTGTATATGACTTTGACAGGTTCTCTCGCCATGACTTAATCGGCCAAGTGGTGGTGGATCATTTCCTGGACTTGGCCGATTTCCCCAGGGAGTGCATCCTCTGGAAGGATATCGAGTATGTCACCAATGTGAGTCCAGCATTTCTTCATTTGGGAATGGGTGCTTCTTGGTTAACACAGAATCGGATTATTGAGGGAACAAGTATAAAACTCATGCCAATATCCTTTGGGCTGTTGTTTTAGAACCTCTTGGTACCTTTACACAGACAATATTTTTTAAAACAATATTCATTTTGAAATTGCCAAGAATTGGGGCTGGGAATGTGTCCTAGTGATAGAGTGCTTGCCTAGCATGCATGAAGCCCCGGTTTCGATTCCTCAGTATCGCATACACAGATAAAGCCAGAAGTGGTGCTGTGGCTCAAGTGGTAGAGTGCTAACCTTGAGCTGAAGAGCTCAGAGACAGCACCCAGGCCCAGAGTTCAAGTCCTATGGATGACTGACCAAAAATTACTAACAAAATTGCCAAGAATAATCCATAAAAAATATATTAAGGAATCATATTCTCTCATTTTGGTTTCTACCTCTGCTTTAGAGCATTGTTGGGCTGTTTTATGTTAGGTGGGTTCTGGCAATCCTACTCACTGGTGTTCTGCAACTTCAAGACGTTGCCTGACTCTAAGAGCACTAAGTCCTACTCTCTGTTCTCAAGTTGCCTCAATGCCAGTTCCATGAGCAGCTCCTCAGCTTTGACCCTGGGAGTGTAAGTGATTGAGAAGAGTTGGTACCATGGTTTCAAATGCAAAACTCACAATTTGAAATGGTAACTCTGAAAAGGAGCTTCAGGCCATGACAAAACTGATTTATAGGAGGCCAAATCCAACTTAAGAGTTTAGGAAAGAAGACAGAGGTGTTCCATGTTTAAATGTAAACATGAGATCACAGAGGAAATGAGATTACTTCATTATTTCCCATCACTCTCCTGCTGAGATGTATTGACACTTGAGAACAGAAAGGAAAATGACTTTCGTAGGTAACTGATACTTCTAAGCCTCCTAACTGATATTTCTTTTACATGGCCAAATTTCCTGAGACAACTTTGTTAGATCATCATGAATTCAAGTTTTCCTGAGGCCAGCATGGCCCTGTTTCTCTATTTTTGCATTTACACCTGCAAAGGGTTCACCACATTTATTCAGTTCAGACAGTGATGCAGCTTGAATGTGGGCCCCATGTAATTCAAGACTCATTCTGTTTAGCAAGACAACATACAACCTCTGCCTAGTGGCCAAATTCCCCAGCTAGTACTCTCTCATCCTGTGAACTGGGGACTCACCATGGTTTGGTGACTCTAAGGGGCACCTCTCTATATGCCAGTTCCACATGATGCCAATTCCAACTTTGTCCTGCTATCCAGATAAGAAGAGTGTTGAATGAGGTTCTACTGGCCACCATCATAATAGTTGGAAGGAAAGGAAGAAGCTGGAAAAGTTAAAGAGAATTGCTACTGATAAATGCTAAGGTGATTCAGCATGCTGGAGAAGGAACAGACTTCACTTTTTAAAGGTTTTGATATATGTAAACCAGAAGTGGATGTTGGAAGAAGTAAGAATTGTTTCCCAAGTCCCAGTTGGAAGATTTAGGGGGCAGTTAAGACACTTTAAGAAAACAAGAAAGACAGGCTTCTTATTCTAAGGTATGAGTGGCCCAAGAATTAATGGTCTCTCTAGGGTATTTACCAAGTCCTCTTGTACATGAAAACAGAATTATGGTCAGCTGCTGTGATGAGCCTTGGACTTATGTCTAAACTCAGGGTAGGGGAGAAGGGGGTAGGAAGTCTCACCATCCAGTGAGCCATTCTTTTATCTTTTTTTTGACAAATGGATGCCATAAAATACCTGGAAAGGTTATTAGAAAGCTCCATGTAGATCCTGCTGCAAGTTGCCTTCTAGAGGTTTTGTGCAGATAGCAACACTGCATACACAGATGCTAATAGTCTGGATAAGGCTGACCCCTGGTGAAAATGTCTCTTCAACAGGTTCCTAAGGGATAGGAATTGAGTGGCAGGCTATGGAGACCTTCTGCCTTGGCACCCCTGCCTTGTAAAGATTCTAAATGCTACCAGAGAAAACAGTTTTGGATAGCTAATGTCCTAGGTTATATCCTCAGTTAGGCAAAGGAATATACATGTCCAACTTTTCTCGGTTACATAAATTAATCCTGCCCCTAGTAAAATTTGACAATTCCTAATATTCCCGTTTCTCAGCAACTCTTGTACCTATTACACTGATTAATATTTATGTGTGTACATGTGTAGAAAATAGCATAGAAGTGATGTTTTCTTAGTTGCCATGTTTGAGCATCTTTTCATGTAATATTGGTCTCATTCATGTTTTCTTTCTTGTGAAATACTACTCAGCACTTTCTTCCCATTGTTTTCTTTTCCATATTGATTCATCTATGCTTTCTGTACAGACTGGATGCAAACCTTCCCTGTGTTGCTTATGTGTACTACAAAAATCACTCCATTTATAGCTGTCTTTATGACAGACTTTGAAGTCTATAGTGACCTTCAATAAATATAGGTTCTCATGTTTAATGTATAAAATCAATCAGCATTTTCTACTGTATATTAGCACATTCATGTCTTATTTAAGGGATCGCACTTTATGTCATGTATGTATTTCTCATGATTTTTCTAGTAGAATGTTGTTTGTTTTTAATGGTACTGCAGTTGAACTCTGCTTTGCATTTGCTAGGCAGATGTTCTACCACTTTGAGCCATAATTCCATCCTTCTACTAGATACAGTTTTCATCTCCAGAGTGGAATTGTTTTTTGTTTCATAGAATACATATGCATCTCATATTTGTCAGCCAGCTCATGCTATCATATCAGACTATATTACACTAAATGGCTTAAACACCACCCATTTCTCACAGTTCTGGATGCTGGAAGTTCAAGATCACAGTGCTTGGAGATTCAGTTCCTGGTGAAGCTCTCTTTCTGGCTTGCATTTTCACCATTCCCTCTCATGGGATTTAGGGTATGAGCACATGCTCTGCTCTTTCTTCCTCCTCTCGGAAAGACACGAATCCCATCATAGGTCCCCAAATTATAACTTCATCCAAATCTAATTACTACCCAAAGCCTTCCTCTCCAAATACCATCACACTGGGGATTAGGCTTCAAACAACAATGCTTGATAAGAAATGTACTCATTACCTTGCCTATGTAATTGTAACCCCTCTGTACGGTATTTTCACAATAAAAAATGATATGAATTTTATTTTTATTTTATTTTATTTGTGAAGATACTGTACAGAGGGGTTACAATTACATGGGCAGGATAATGCGTACATTTCTTACCAAGCATTGCAGCCTCCTCCTTTTGTTTACCCTTCACATCCCTTCCCAGCCTCCCCCCTCCCCAAAAAGGATATGAATTTTGAAAGGGTCAAAAACAGCTTACTAACATTTTCATTTTAATTATTCTGAATGGATTAACAATTTCTTGTCTCATTTTCCCAGTCACTGGTAGTGCATACTCTGTCCAATATAGATGAAATCTGCCTGGATACTATTTTTTATCCATTGTTCAATTTGAGTATTTCTACAAGTGACACAGTTTGCAAATTATTATTGTTCTAGAATAGGCCTTAACATTGGAAGAGCAAATCACCCAGTCTACTTTTCAGTTTAGTCTTTGCAGACACTTGGTTTTCCTTACAAGTTTTAGAATTGCATTGTCAAGTTAAACAAAAATTCTTGGACTGTGTGCATGTTTATATGAAGTCTATAGGTTAGTTTAGAGAAATCTGACATATTTTTTATATTGAATCTTTAAAAAAAGTTAAAGTGCAGTTGTAGTATGAGGGTTCACTGAGATATTTCCACACATGTACACAGTGTATTCTGAATAAATTCATCTCCTCAACCATATTTCTGTTCCTTGCCTTCCTTCCCTCTGATCATGAAGTGGCACTTAGTGAGTTTCATTACTCCATATATATTACATATGTAATATAAATGTGTTACATATGATATAAACCACATTATATATGTAATACATGTATAATATTGCAAATATGCAAGATATAATATACAATGTGCAACATATTTAATACATAATAGATGGCATATGTAATGTTACACTTTGAACATAAAAATACTATAAATATATATTATATATATGTATGTAATATCCTTTGAGCTTCAGTATCTGCCTATTCTTCCTTCCCCCACTGCTTCCCTCCTATACAGTCCCTTTTTTACATTTATGTACCATCATCATTTTAGGACCATACTCCACAAATAGACTATAGCATGCAATATTAGGCTCTTTGGGTTTGGCTTATCTCATGAGTCAAGCTTTCTAATCTTAACCACAGTGTATCTTCTCTCTGTTTATTTAGCTCTTCTTTCTTTTTCATTCATCTTTATAATTTTCTACATAAATGTCTCTCATGTCTCTTCTTAGATTTGTTGCTAGATACCTAAATTTTTATTATTACCATTACCATTCGGTAATACTACCATTATTTCAAATTGTAATACTTTTTATATTGTTTTTTAGTTTTATATAGTTTTTATAGTTTTTTATAGTTGAAATTCCTTAAATTTACCTTGCTTGGAAATTTTGTAAAACAGTACTTCTTTTTTAAAACTTTTTCTTAGCATATATTAGGTACATGAGAGATATTTTATTGTGACATTGTCAGAAATGTACACAGTGTATCCTGATCAAACTCAGCCCCTTATCTTTAAAATGTCTATTTTCATACACGTTCTACTATTCTATTTTCATACATACAAATAAACTATTTGCATGAAATTTGTCATTGTTACCATCTCCATTAGTCCCGTCCTCTTCCTCTGGCGCCTATAACACCAAAAGTCTAGCTCGAAAGTTTTTTAAGTTATTTATTCTCTTTTCCTGCTGTCCCAACCCTTATTGATGCACAGATTTTGTTGAGATTCCTTATGCCATCTCCTTATATAGTTGCAATGTATTTTTTATTTTTTATTATCAAGGTGTTGTACAGAGGGATTACAGTTCCATAAGTAAGGTAATAAATACATTTCTTGTCAAACTTGTTACCCCTTCCCTCATTTTCCTCCTACTTTCTC